CTTCTTCTTCTGGATCTGATGCTATTATTTCTTCCATTTCTTCACAATCATTGACTATAATCCTCTCTAGACTTTGGAGATATTCCACCAACTTCCAAGATGGAAACAACTTCTTTACTTTTTTGTATTCCCAAATCCAAACTTCTTTAAGATATGAAAAAGTGTGAGGCTGAGGTGGTGACATGGTAATCAATTCTACTTCAAACACCCAATCCTCCAAGTCGTCCAACCCCTTAAGAGATAGACGAGGAGGGAGACGAAAAGGAATCCTCCTTAGGCCCTTGCAATCCCAAATGGAAATAGATTCAAGAGAATCACATACCATTACTGCCCTCCTGCTACAGATGCTCTTCAATGCAGGCAAGAAATGTAATTCTAGTTCTTTTAATTTTGGAAGAATAAGCTTCTTGATGATGTCCCCTCCTTCTTCTTCTTCTTCTGGATCTGATGCTATTATTTCTTCTATTTCTTCACAAAAAGAGACCTTAATCCTTTCTAGACTTTGGGCGTATTCAACCAGGGGAAGAGAAAGAAGCATCCTCCTTAGGCCCTTGCAACCACGAATTCCAATCTCTTCAAGAGAATGACATACCATTACTGCCCTCCTGCTACAGATGCTCTTCAATGCTGGCAATTTTTCCAATGACAGCTTTTTTAATTTTGGAAGAATGAGCTTCTTGATGATGTCCCCTCCTTCTTCTCCTTCTTCTTCTGGATCTGATGCTATTATTTCTTCCATTTCTTCACAGTCGTCGACACAGAGAACTTCAAGCTTTTTGAGACATTCCACCAACTTCCAAGATGGAAACAACTTCTTTATTTTTTTACATTCCACAATCGAAACTTCTTTAAGAGATGAAAAAATCCCAGGTGGAGGTGATGACGTCGCCATGACGTTTGCTTCAAATAGCCCATCCAATTTGTGCAAACCCCAAAGTTCTAGATACTCAAGGGTTTGGACGAGACTGCTATTTATCCACGAGGAAAGAATCCACTCCATGCCTTCACAACCCCAAATCACACATCTCCTCAAATCTGTTACATCTTTAATATCAGAAAAATCATTTAAGCTTCTTATGTTGTGGCAATCACAAATAAATAAGAATTGGACGGAGGGACATAATGTATTCTCTCCAACAATACTAGTCTCCCGGAACAGCATTATTTTCTCATATCTTGATAACCCTTCTGGACTTTCATAAATCTCTTCCTCCTCAAAGGAATCCAAATTGCTTCCAACAATAATAACATAGCTATTCAGCTTATTAGGCTGAGATTTAAGAAAGATTCTCACGTCATCCACGGTGGGAAATCGGCCATAAAAAACTTCCAACTTGTTCAATCTCCCAACGTCGTCTCCCTTCAATATTATGCTGCTCCGATTTACAATTAACTCCTGAAGTTTGGAGAGATTTGATAATACTCCATCTGCTATCTCATCTATTTCAACAAAATCTCCATGGTCTGATCCACAAAGATAAAGGCATTTCAAATTCTTCAACTCTCCCAGGCCTTCAGGGACTTCTTCGATATTTGTCCCCCTAAGGTTTAACTTTTTCAAGGATCCAAGGCCTGATAAAGATGGTACACTTTTTAGGCCTGTTGATTCCAACAACAATGTAGTAAGCTTCACCAAGCTAGAGACAGAATTTGGTAGGCTGCTTAGCTTTTCATTGAAGGACAGATCAAGAATTTTTAGCTCTGGCATATGCTCAAAGATAGATTCTGAAATTGTTGACAAATCATTCTGGGCCAACAACAAGGTTGTGAGTCCTTTGCATGTTGAAGATGCCATGCTCGATGGAATTTCTTCAATACAGTTACACATTAATGAAACCTTTTGAACACCTTCTGCACAATTTACCTTCTCTGGTAGCTCTTTCAATGCCTTGCCAGCTTCTACCAAGAACCGAGGACTCGTTTTTGTAATGTGCAAGGCCATATCTCTAATAAGATCATGCATCCTCACACGATCTCCTCCATATACATATTCATGTTCATCCTCTTTAATCAATTCCAACAAGCTACATTCTTCAAGCTTCTTCAAAATATAATAACCCCAATCCTTCATTGCTTGCCGAGTGTCCATTTCATCTATAAACCCCTCATCAATCCAATATTCAATTATTTCCTCCTTCAAAATCATGTAATCCTCAGGATACAATGCACAATATAAAAAACAATCTTCGATCTGTTTGTCTTTCAAACGATCATAACTGAACTTTAATATCTGAAATGCATCAGCATTATCTGGACCTGCCACATTTCTTTTGCAATCTCTCAATTGATTCAGTGCAACACTCCACAACCGTGAGTCAGATATTCCTTTTAAGCTGCCAGCAACTGTACTAAGTGCCAATGGAAGACCATCACATTCATCCACAATGTCCTTCAAAGTTGATTCTAAATCCCTTTTAATGCCTCCTCCTGGACATGATAAAGCAGCATCTCCAACTTTATTTAAAAACAATTTTAGAGCTTCATCTTTTGAAAGAGTCTTTACTTGGATACTTCTACAATCCATTGAACGAGCAAACTCTTGTGACCGAGTAGTCAATACTAACTTGCAGCCATCAGTTACATTTGGCACATTTGGCTCAGGAATTCCAACCTCATTAAGGTCAAAAATCTTCCACACATCATCTAAAATCAGCAAGAAAGGCTTGTGTTTGTCTTCTCTTAGCATTTCGAATAACTGTCCAGCACGCATAGCTATATTTTGATCCTTTGGAAGCTCCTCCTTCAAACTGCTTGCAATTTGTTCTTGCAGTTTGTAGATCTGAAAGTTTTGTGACACAGTTACCCAAATTATTTTCTTGAATTTGGGTTTGGGTTGTTTCTGCAGTTCATTGTGTATGTTCTTCATGATTGTTGTTTTTCCGATTCCTCCCATTCCCCAAACTCCGAGCTTTGCCACCTCTTCTCCTTTCAAGTATGCCAAAATTTTTGCTTTAACAGCCTCATTGCCTTGTAATTTTGGTACTGGCAGTTCAACTGCTGAAGCTGATGGATCATCAATGACCAAACAGTCTGGCAATTGACTTCCTTCATCACACATTCTCTCCATTTCTTGAATCTTTTCTCTAAGAAGCATTACTAGAGAATCAGAAGAATGTTGGGGACTCCCTCCCATTTTATCTTCAATATCTTTGACTCCCTTCAACATCTCTTCCACTTTCCCCAGCCAATGTTTGACTTCCTCCTTCTCAATTTTCCCATAGACAAGTTGTGACGGCAATGTTGAACCAATATCTCCCTGTTTGTGCTGCAGCTTCTCTTTCAATTCTTTAAAATTCTTCACATCATAATTGAGTTTCCTGGAGTGATCTTCAATGACCAAACACTCATTAGTGTATTTATCCCCTCTATCATATATTTCCTTCAATTCCTGTGTTCTTTCCTCTAGAATCACTGCTCGGCAACAGCAAGAGAGATACCCCCAACTGTTCACTTCATCAACAACATTCTGTCTTTCAATAAATTCTTCTACTTCTCTAAGCCAATCTTCCACTTCCGCCTTTACAACATGGTAAGGTGCAGATTCAAGCTGAGTCCTCAGTTCTGATGCGATATCATGTTTTCGATTGCACAAGCCTTGTTTGCTTTGCTCGAACTCTTGCAAAAGATCATTATATTTTATCTGGTATTTCAGATATCTCACAAATCGACCACCAACAAGCTTAACAACTTCGATGCTTGGCCCTACCCAATCCATAGATAGCTGGGTCACTGCAACACATTATTTACATGAAAACGTCGTGAGAAAAATTGGTTTTTATGTGCATATAGGCATATGTACCATGCATTGAAAACTTAAAAACTTCAGGAAATGTATCGATACTTCATAAAGAGCCATCATTTCCAACAAATAAAAAATAAACTTTATTATATTTTCTTGGGAGAGACCAGGTATATGAGAAAAAAAGATAATAAATGCAGAAGCTAATGCCAACTAAAAAATGATGTTAAGAGTAGAAACAGAGAATGAGACAAATGAATTGTACAATGGGTTTTTCAACCATCTGCCTAAAAATACAAGTTAAGTCATATTTTTATCATAAATATGTATTAAAAATATAAAAATTAATAT